GAATTTTAAGTCTAAGGAGGTCCAAAAGTCATCCCAATCAGAAGTTCAAAGATTGCCAAGAAGAAACAAAGAAGTCTAAGGAGTCCAACTATGATACCAACAAGGTGTGAGACCTAAAAAACTGATAACCAATCAACTGGTATTCATCAGAATTCATAGTTCTCATATCAAGATCATAGAAATTGCCATATATGCATCAACAATTTAAAGTAAAGGCAAAAACATTACAGTATAAAACAAATATAGTACTCTTAAAGCTCCATAACTTTGCTCTTGTATAGAATTGCTTAAATGAATTAAGCTTAATAAGCTTATTTCAGGGCCAATAACTTTTTAGCAAGAAGAAGCAAGCAAATCAGGCATATGGGGTTGGGGTTCAACAACTTGGGTTGAGTTAAGGTATTGACCTCTCCACCCAACCCACCCAACTTTGGCTTACCCTTCACCTCTGCACCAGACCTCAACCCCACCTAACCTGATCTTAATTGCACCCCAACTCTGAGAAACCTGATTTGATCTGCATTTTCTTGTAGCTTTCTTGTTTTTTAGCATAAAAAATGACTTCTAGTCACTACTTTGTGGGGCTTTCTCACAATTAGGGCATATAATATACAAGTCAGTCTTACTCCTATCTGATATGTGGCAGTGCATATTTTTGGAGTCTTTTCTTGTCCTTGAAATTGAATCCTAACATAACTGAATAAGCATATATCTTCAAGCTTAATCCTGAGGTGGGGCTGTGAGAGCTGAGTGTGGTATCCATTTGTGCAATGCCAGAGTCTCAGTCGTCTGAATATGGTCAGTCTGACAAGTGATGCTGGACTCATACTTATCCTTCTACTATCATAACTTCATACATCAATGATTGGGTCCTGGACTCTTGGGTCCAATTTCACAGGAAATCAGCAAGCCCACATGGAACAGTCTCTAGACTTGCTAGTGGCTGGCATTAACAGCCAAAGGATTTGGTGCATGACTGTTCCATTTAGATATCAGCCATTTCTTCTCTCCACCTATCTCGTCTTTCGTCCAATGATCGAGATGACCCCACACTGGGGATTCATTTCATCTCAATCGACTGGTTAGAATAACCTGAACTTCTGGCCCATGTTTCAATATCTTCTAAAACCTCATCCAAAACTAAGAAAAGCGATCACTATCTTCTGTGACTAAAGAAGAATTAGCAAGTAAACCATGGGGTTGAAGAGAAATTTTAGGAATTGACATCAGTTTGGTTTCATTCTTAGGGTTAGCCTTGGGTTGTTCCTTAACCTAACCTAGGGTTAACAGGGTTTAAGAGAAATTTAAGAAAAAAAATGAGGGAAGAAGAGATGTTATTAACATTGACCAACTATTGGAGAGAGAGAGATTTAAAAATAATTTATTAAAAAGTAATGATGGATTTATTAGAGATAATTAAGATATAAGAGAGTGGCTTATTATATTTTTAATATTTAAAAATAATTAAATAACCACATGAGCATTGGGGCAAGAGGTCCCTTTGATCTTAAAGATAAGATTAAGTTCTTTCCTCCTTTCAGCAATGGTAGAGGAGACGAGTAAGCATCAAGTCAGCTGACATAGTCACCAGCAACCTTTAATATAGAGAATGTGTATCTAGTAAGGCTATCATAAATTGGATGGGACTTGGATATATAATTAATAAATCAATTATTTTATATTTATATAATTAGGTTTGTTTGATTCATAGTCAGAGTGAAATCAAATAGTTTATTTGATTCAAATAAGAATTAGAATGGAACTTTGAATCAATTGAGGAAATGGCCTTTCCCTCAAATGAGGGCATGCCATTCCACTAGAAATGGGACTGCGATTCCAATTCCGTCCAACCACAGTTGGAATCAGAATGGGTCATTCCAATTCTGATTCCAGACCTTTGTTCCTACAAACCAAATGAGCCCTTATTCATCTTTTTGAAATTTCTAGCTTAGACAAGTGAAACATATTCAACATATACTGAGGTTTTGGTACCGTGGTTGTCTTGAGTAGAAATAATGGTGCTATGCTAATGTCACATATATGTAAAGAGTTTCACATGCTTTTTTTTTGGCTGGAAAATTTCCAACCAAAACAGTTTCTAACACTTTGCATGAAAATCCATGTTAAGGGGTGTTTTAAGAAACCATGGTTTTCAAAACCAGACTAGATTGGACGGTTGGACCAGAAAAACCGGGAACCGGTTAGGTGATTGGTTCTATTTTTCCCCAAAACCGGATATTTGCAAAAAAAAAAACGTTGATCAGGCGGTTGAACTGTTCGAACTGTTCAACGATTTTGACCATTTTTTATTTTTTAATTTTTTTGTCAGAATGGGTCGACCATTCGGTTCGAATGATCGGACTGTTCGACCCGAACAGGCTTCAAGCATGAAAGATGGTATTTGTGATTTAAGCAAAGACATTGTCTCAACCCAAAACACTTCAGGATGAAACACCAAGAGTACCAAACACAACCTAAATCCAAAAAATCTAATGAGATTCAAATTTTAGGGTCCGTTCTTTTTGTGGATTTTGAGAGGGGGAAAATTGGTCAATGGGATTTTGGTTCCCATTGACCAAGAATCACATGTTCTTTTTTCAGATTAATGTGGAGACCAGAAAAAGTTTATTTTCTTGGGTATCACTTACCTTGGTGGGTAAATAACTTTCTCACTTGGGGAGAAAGTTGCCAACACTTGAATGAGACAAAATGCCCCTTTAAATAATAGATTTTTATGGCTAAAATGGTCATTGCCTTATTTACTTGGGAAATAAAAGAACATGGATAAATACACGTACCCAGATAAGTGTGTCCCGAGAAACACTTACCCAGATAATTGCATTTACCCGGATAAATAACTTACTGAAAAGCGAACAGGCCTTTAGAGATATAATTGGATTTTAGATTAAATGTTGATTTGGGTTTTTGATAATTGGATAGAACTCAGATGTGGTTGGATCCAATCTAAACCTGATCCATTTACAGCCCTAGTGGTGGGTGCTACTAGTGGTTAAAGGAAACAACCATGGCGGCATGTTGCTTTGGGAAGAGTGTAAATACAAATATGTATAATGTAAATATAAAGTTTAGAAGTACCATATACAAGGTTTCGCAATGAACATATTTGTATTTACACTCTTCCAAAACTGACTAGGATGACTACAAATACAAATACATTCCCTTTAAATTGAATCTAAGACTCATTTTGGAAAAAGTACAAGTGCAAATATATACAGTAAAGATACATACAAAATAATACAAAATACAAGATCTTACACTCTACATATTTGTATTTACACTCTTTTCAAACTGAATTTAAGGAAAAAATGCTTCCATTTGCACCCTTAGCTCATAATAGTGGAGAAACATACAAATAATAAACTGTAGCTCACCCATTGGCCATTGTGATTAGAAGGCCCTAGCGATTAGCTTATAAAAAGGTCATTGTGTAGCAGTTTGAGTAATGGGTGAGCGAGAGATGGACGGAATTATATTTATTCAATAAAGAATGAAGAGTAACCAAATAACCACGCAGTTGACTCCAAGCACAGTAATTGGCTTATTTAATGGTTTGGTTATGGTTATGTGTGTAATTAAACAATATAAGAATGATTCCAAACAATATTAAAACCAAGAAAATGGGTTGAAGAAGCAAGAAATTCTCTGGAAAAGAAAACATAACCCTTGATAGAATGAAACAACAGAATGAATGATCCCATATAGTTGAACAATGAACATGGATTTAAATTGGGGCTCAGTTTGGAAGGAGTATAAATACAAATATGTACGATACAAATACATATAAAATAATACAAAATACAAAATACAAAATTTTGCACTCTACATATTTGTATTTGTATTCCTTCCAAACTGAGCCTGAAAGGAAATGGCGAAACAAGATTCATGGAGCTGAACAAGGCTAAGATGATGATAAGGGGAAATAAGAGAGAGAGAGAGAGAGAGAGAGAGAGAGTATAGATGCCTTTAGACGCTCAATATTGAAATCATACTTTGAACTATGGATTTGAACTAGGAGTGTCAATGGACTGGTTTTGGGTTAGACCCCTTCCAAACCAAAATCAATTTGGATGGATTGGACGACCACTAAGACATTGAATTGCACCAATCCAAACTTATGGTCCAAAGTATTTATTGGACTGGACTGGACCTGGTCCATCCATAATGAGTTTATATCGAATTATAATGGGTTTATATAGGATTGGGTCAGATTGAACCAAATATCCGGTCCATTGATAGAAGATAAGAATACAAGTGTCAATGGAACATGTTTGAATTGGAACAAATCTAGCTTAAAACCAGTTTGAACAGATTGGACAGTCCAGAAATTGAATTGGACCAGTCCAAAAAGGTCCAAATTATTCATCGGATTGGATTGGACCTAATACATTTGTAATGGACTCATATTGTACCGGATCATATTGGACCAAATCTGGTCCATTTCTTTGGTCACATTTATTGCTCAAACAGAAGCTGATTTTGTATAGTTTATGTGCATGTGCATCTCTGAGATTGAAATAGTGTGTTTGGTTGCTTCTTTTATAAGAGGAGACAACAAATGGTACTAAGTGTGATCAATAAATCCATTATGTGAGCTGCTTGACTCCTTCGAGTCAATGGACCATTTATGGCTCAAGCTGAGTGCAACAAGCTTAGGCTAGGCATGTTCCCATGTGACTTTCTCTGCCCCCTTCCCCGCAAAGCTCTGTTAAAAAACTTCCCTGTTGCTACAGAAAAAATAAATAAATATTTTGCAGGTTTGAAACAGTAAAAGCAGATCCATTCAAGCAATCCCAAAATAGTAAACCTGTTTCCCCATCTGCAACACAATTAAATTCAACACTCCATCCAACTATATATTTTATGTCTAAAGCTGAAGTCGATGAAAATTTTACTGTTAATGATGATGTGCCAGAACCTAGAAACAGTTCATATATGGGAGTTCCAGAATTCAGAATTCCAGCCAGTAATGCAAGATTAAATTAAATAACGAGAAAGGTTTTTTGAGCTTAAATATACTAACTATAGAATCATCAAAAAATATATTTATGAATTGGAAAAAGAAAGGGAAAAAAGGCAATAGTTGTTTTCATCCTAGCAATTGAAAAATTGGTACAAAAGCTTGAGGCTCAACTTGTGCCTGATGAGCATAACTTAGAACAAGAAAAAGAGGTGAAAAGAAAAAAAAAATCAGACTAAGCTTCATACTTGCAGAGGTTCTCAAAACCCATGTACTCATGCTTCTCGATCTTGTAAATCATATTTGATATGCCGACTCCACCTGTTACATAGAATAAAGAGCCTTCAGTATTAAAGAAGCTCAATTTTTTGAGAGCAAATGTAGCAAAATAGTTTGTTTGGTCTTTCAGTTAAGCTGGGTTTGCATTAGAGCAGAAGAAGAAATATGTGGTTGAAAACATGGTTTTTAAAAACAAACCGGTGAAGGGTCCAGTTACCGGTTCAAACGGTTAACCAGCCAGTTCAGCGGTTTGCTGACCAAAATCAATGGTTTTGGGGAAAAAGCGGTTTTGGAGGAAAACAGAACCGGTCAGGTGACCGGTTCCCAGTTTTTCCGGTCCGATCCGGTTTTGAAAACAGTGGTTGAAAATGAGTTGAAAGATCTCCCTCACCACTCAGCTCTGAAAAAATAATTAAATGAATCATAGAGAATAGCAGATTATTACTATTAGTCATGTTTTTATCTATCATTATAGTGGATGGTATAATAACTTGGGGTGGGGGGTAGTCATTCCCATTTTCCACTGAATTGCAGTACACAACCTGTTTTTCCACTTCTGCCCCGCAATCCAAAGATAGCCTTATTGCATATAAATGAAGCTGCTAAAACCTAAAATCACTTTTTTCGCAAATGATACTCACCTAGTGAGATTGCACTGACAAAGATTGTGAAGGACAGGATGAAGATGATGAGAGATGCCCTCCCTAATACAATGATAAGCCTCCTCACTACATGTTGCCCTATAAAGGCAGCAATGGTTGCCACGGCAACAAAATAGAGAGCTGCCCAATAAAATTAAAAGAACAGAGGATAAATAGTTAAGCTAAATACTTCATCATCTGTACATCCAAATACACCTTTTTCTCTCTTTACTCTTGGGGTCAAGAACTGTGCTCAACCTTCCAAAAGGAGCAGAACAGAATCAAGAATGATAGTAGCGACTACAGTGGTTTTACTTACCATATGGAACTGGGAAACGCTTCAGAAGGTAATATTCTACAACAGACATAGATGAAGAGAATGTCATAGCAAAGGTGGCTGTGGCACTTGACACCTGCACAAAAACTCACTCCTGAGTTCAAGTCATAATATTTGAAAATTGAAACTTCCAGAGAAGAATAGGCTCATGTTTGATGACTGAAAAAGAAAAGAATGCACTACTTCTAATGATAAAACTAATACACAGAAGTATCTTTATCATTTAAAACAAGTACTATTTGACTACTATATTAGCTGATTGCCCAGTTTATCAAATATAGAATATACTGAAAATAAAAAGGGCCATTACCAAAAAATGGTCCTGCCTATTCAGGATCTTGGAAGGGGTAGACTGGATACAGACAGACCTAACCTTTGGCATATTTTGTTTTTTTTTTTGCACAAAGTGACTGTTCTCAGTACCCTATATACCCAACCATACACTGTACACCAATACAGTAAGTTCAGAACTAAATGAAACTAATGTGAACGTCTAAGGCATGAAATGAACTCCAATACTAGATAGAGTAACATCTTGCAGGAACAGGGCATGCAACAAACCTGGGGAGGAATGCCCAGCTCCAAGAAAAGAGGGCCCAAAATAAAGCCTCCTCCTAGACCAAGCAGACCACCAACCACACCAGCCAATATACCACAACAGCAATAGAGGATCAGCTGATGCACTTTCCAGTTTGTGCCTGCATCTCCGTTGGATGCAATAACTCTTCTTCCATTATATAAGCTAACCGCCTCATATAAAGATACACCACAAGAAACAGGGATCTGCAAAACATGGGAAGGTAATCCTTTTTTAAAATATTATACCAAAAAGCAAGATTTGGAGTAGCTTTTGGCTTAAGCCAAGCTCTTTAATACAGTTCAGTGTTCCATACTTCGTGGCCATTGGTTTAACAATAGCTTATCCAGACAAACAAGTTAAAAGAAGAGACCATAGACATCTGATGAAAGCTACTGAAGATACCTGTAACAAGTTTAAGATCCAATATGATATTGAACAAGTTGTCGTATGGTTCTGCATCCGATGCATGTTTCAATTAGTTAGCACACAACTCAGAGAAGCATGGGGAGAGGCTAATTCACATGCTTTCAAAAAAGGGAATATATCAGAAATAGCGTACCTTGACAATTTGCAGAACAAGAAATGCAACCCAGACAAAAACAAGAAGACCAAGTTCCTTCCAGTAGACATTCTTAAGAATAGGAGCCTGGCATGTGCATAGAAGTTAGTCCAGGGAGCTTTCAAGACAGAAATTCAGCTCATGGTACAACACTCACCTCTGGTTCCTTATATTCTTTGGTTGCCTTTTCAGGTCCATTGCCTGGGCCACTGGATAGAGGCTTATATTCCACTTCTTCATTGCCACTACCTGATTAAAGGAGAAAATGAAGTCCCTCAGTTCCAAGAAAATTAATGAAACATCACACATCTGAAATTTAAGGGGAAGAGACCAACTAACCATTTGACTCCAAGCGTCTAGCAGCCTCCTGATATCATAAACAAGATGTAAGAGGAGGGAAGAACAGATGATTAAGATCAAATTGAATTAGCTGGTATAAAAACACTGCCATAGAAGAATGATGATTTCTGGATTACCTTTTTTAGTATGGTTTCCTTTTTCCATGTGTCAACACCTCTGAAAAATGCCTTAGTTGAAGTGCCTGCAGCCCACAATGACAAATAAAGAATCACACCACCACGATCAATCAAGAATGAATTCGAACCCAAATATGTAGAATTGGAGAAATGCCACTGGAACAACCATTACCTATGAAGAGGACAATGAGCAGGACTGTAACCATCCAGTCAGCAAAAATCACATTGAAAGCAACTCCAATGCTGATCCCCAGCATAAGCATAGGCTGGAAAAGTAGGGCCAAGTCGTAGTCAATGATGGGCATATCAAGAGTTGGATGTCTTAGCTTAAGATTGTAGTAAACAGTTGAGCCTGCTGCACCCATGATCATACCTGTACAAGCAAGACTATAACTTCAGTATCTGCTCTGTCATGGATTACTAAAATGAACAAGCTCAGATGATCAGATTCTCAGTTTCTCACAATCAATCATGATCCAGTTTTCAACTTTCAAAAGCTCAATAGAACTAGTTTCACTCCCTACTATGGGACTGAAAACTTCATTCACCTGAGGCTCAGCCTATTCTCTAGTTTTAGTTTTCAAGTTATGGAACTTCAAGCCTTCTAAGAACCTAGAGAAAAAGGAATCAGAAACCCTGCAGGAATTGGAAACTCTGCATCAATTTGCAGAGCTCCTTCCAAACAGGGCAGGTCTGTGACACTGCTAAAGAAAGCTCAGGAGGAAGCTGTTACAGCATATCTCTTACATTTTGATATTGCAGTTGATGATTTCGCATCAAATCCAATAATCAGGGTAAGCATGGGAACGAAGATCCCACCGCCACCAACACCTCCTACACTCCCAAAAGCTGCTCCAAAGAACCCAATAATCGTACCCAAGACAATTTGCCAGCCGAACTTCATATCCTGTAAAAAAGATACAGATCACAATCAGATCCTCAACACTTGGAGCAGAAAGAAAAACGGAGATTCGCAGACCGAAACATTTTCCTTGTATTCCTTCTTCTGATTCATATTTACAAAACAACTGAATAAGCGAAATATCAGACCCAGCCGAGAGAAATGAGAAGTTACTAACTTACAGGCCAAACATGCTGGTAACCTGACACATCCGATTGCCACAAGAAATTTGCAACTTTGTGTAGATAATTCGATAGACTAACTTCAGTGTCATTGCTTCTTGAAGCCTCGTCTTTCAAACTCCGTTCAGCCGAGACGAACACAGAAGCTAGAAGAAAGCCGAGCGATATCATGGTTGCCATTCTCAGAGGAGCCTGCCATCTTGCTCCAGTTCCAGCCATCGTGATCACACCAAAATGCTTGAATTTCCTTGACTTCTTTTCGTTCAAATCAGAAAGCAGAAAGAATAACTCAATTCCAGTGCACAAATTAGCTCCCTGCTATATCTTTTCTTCAACTCCAACTACCCCACCAAACCGAATCAAAGTTCTTAAGTAGAGCAAATTGCCAAACGCGGAAGCCAAAAAAAAAAAAAGAGAGTCGAAGATTTAAACAAAAAAAAAGTCAAACTTTCTGTTCAATTTTTTAAACTTTCAGACGCTTCGCTTCACGGACTCTGTAAGAGCACTCCTCTCTCCACGGCGAGATTAGACCGACTACGTCCCGACCCAAAACGGGATTTCGCTGGAATCCCGTATTCAAGATCAAGATGAGACAAGATCCTCGACCAGATATCGAAACCCCGCCAGAACCCAGAAGCCTTCTTCTTTCTTTTTCCGTTTCTCCGACCGGATTCTATGGACTCAAGCGATTAGATGAGGTTTGGTGCTTGCCAGCTTCTGTAACATCGGAACCGGTAGTCAGTGCCGGGACGGGAAGATGGTTTAGAACACATTAACGGTTGAGGAACAAAAATGAGAAAAAGGAGGAAAAACGGAAGTTATCTCCGCTAGATCCTCTTCTTCGGGGGAAGAAAGAAATAAATTAGAATATCAAACCAGTTGCCGCACGATCCGAAATGCAGCCTCTCCGAATTTGGAGATTGCAGGGTGAGCGCAAGCGTTTATATATAGAGTATAGACTAATAGAAGTTTTTATTAACAACTTCCATTTCTTATCCTTCGTTTTTTTGAACAATTACAAAATAGTATTTTGGATGTGCTAGCAATTACCCCTGAACTTTCATTTGATACAAAAAGAAGACCCCTAAACTTTCAGGTCTAGACAAAAACCCCTTCATATATTCTTATGTGACTGTTTAAATATTCTTAAATTCCTAAATTACCCTTCTCCCAATGTTATCATAGAACACGTATTAGGGTTTAGTTATATGTTTCTTTTTTTCCTTCAATTTCCATTGATTATGGGCTATGTTTGATGCAATTTGTACATGGAATTAACAAAACTTCCATTTAGCAATTTTTTGAAAGAAAAATAGTGGTTTATCTAGATATCGCTCCAGTCATTTTTCAAATTATGCCCTCTCGTTTCTAAAGTGGGTATTTTGGTAAATTAATTTCTTTAGTTGCTCAATAGTTCAAATCGTATTCTATTATTGTTCATATGCTTCTGAAGTGGGTACTTTGATAAATTAACGTGTTCCATCACTGAATGGTTCAAATTATGTACAACCACTCGAAGGGGTCTTTATTGGAAAATGAAAGTTCAAGTGGTTCTTTATTGTAAATGAAATTTAAGGAGGGTAATTGCCACTACACCAAGGTAAAAGGTAGTAAAATGGAATTCATCTTTTTCAATATATTTTTTATTTATTAGTTTTTACTTCATGTTAATTAATAAAAAAAAAAATTTCTATTGCTACTAACCCGAATGATAACTGATAAGTACGACGTACATGATTTATATGGACAAGAACAAAGAGTTGAGTGATAAATGGAAAGAAAATCAAGTGATTTTCAACAGCACCTATATACACATACGCATACGTTCGTTCATGCACGTTAGATTGTCTCCCGAGTTGAGCACTTGATGAGTTCACACGTGAATTAAAGGTCTGACCAAATTTTGTTTTCCGAGTAACTCTCTGTCTCTTGTCCTGATTCCACGAAAGAAATGTCAGGTTCAGTCCCTTGCAATTTACCACGTGTATGGTTCTGATGATAAGGTACTGTCAGCTCATATTCCCAATCTAAAGCTGTAAAGGCTGTTGGAACGGGCTTTGCAGTTTGCACTGTCCGAAGCCGGCTGCCAATGCCAACAGCCCAACATTTTCATCGATAAGATGCAGCCCTTCATCACTGCTGGGTGCGTAGTACGTGATCGAGATCAAACGCTTGGCATTCATGCCAGGAATGGAGCCAGCGGGCCCCTTGGGTTTTGAAAATATACGAGAGGGAGATGGGGCCCATCCTAATAGGGGAGGGAGATGGAAAGATAAATCATAAATGAATTAGGGTTGCATTAAGCCAAGGGCCCAAGGCAATTATTTAATAAAGATGGGGTGAAAAAGTTTCATAAAAGCCTGGATTCCAACTTTCCAGTTTCCATAGATCGGTTTATTGTAGTACATAGTATATAGTACCCCTTTTCAACTACTTTTGACTTTTGAGATTTTTCTAGTAGCTTTTTTCCCTTTGTTATTTTGTTGCAGTTCAAGGGAACCTTAACAAAGGTAAAAGTAATTTTTTATTTTGTTTTTCTATTTTTAGCTTTTTACATTATCATAATATTTTGTTCTTTTTTATATTTATTATTTTTAGTTTTATTGTACTTAATTAATCATTATTCCATTTGAGTTTTGGGGAAGATGATTCCAAAAGCTAACCTTTGTCAAGAGAGATAAGATATAGTCTTCGCCAAGAAGAACAAGGGAGTTTGTTCTCAATGCATGGCTGCTAAGGCAGTTGGGAGCTGATCCAACCTCTTATCAAGGAGGAAGTATAAGTAAACTTTTTCTTATTTTTGTATTTAAACATAAATTATTGAAATAATATGAGATGGGGTTTATGTTAGATTTAAGATTTAATTAGCATAGCTTTATAAATAAGGAGACTAAGAATCCTGTATATATATAATTTTTTTATTATTTTTTCACTGTTTCACATTTTATAAGAATATTTTCTAATTACATTAACGCTTCGTTTGTTTTTTGAGAAATTATTTATTCAAGCCATTATTAAGAAGGACAATTTTGTCTCATTCAGATACTGAAAACTTTTCTCCCAAGTAAAAAATTAATTACCCACTTAGGAGATGGGTATCACTTACCCATACCCAGGACGGGCAAGTGATACCTAAAGAAAATAATTTTTTTTGTGAAAATCATGAATAAATGATACCCAGAGAAAATAAATCTTAAAAAAAAAGAGAGCCTCACTTTATCATTGGTTCACTATTTTGCTCTATGATGCAACTATTAAATTGTAGATTTTGTTGAAAACCTAGAGCCAAGAATTGAATGTAGTTGGTGGGCAATTAAATCAAAATCAAACTGGCAATAATAAAAAGCTCAAATCAATTCTACATAAATAAAATTTGATTATGAAGAATTGGGATGGGACGTGGGATAGATAAAAGCAAATGGGTGTCTGAGTTCCAAGTCCAAGAAGTTGGTAGGGCTGCAAATGGATTGATATTCGATACGAATTCGATTTGGATCGCCTAAAAAAAAAGAATTCGATTTGGTCTAGCAAGATTGCATTCCCCGTCCTCGTCTTCACCTTTGTCCTCATCCTCGTTCCCATCCCCGATCGGGGTGGGAATTGCATTCCCTGTTCTTGTTCCCATCCTTAATCGGGGATTCAAGGGTAGCCCCATCCCCGACCCCAACCCTGCCAAGATACCCCCATCCCATCGAGGAGCCCGACTACCCGTCGGGAACAGGAAAAATTGCCACCCCTGCATCTTTTGGCTATACAATAGGCTAGACAAATTATACGAATGAACATGTCAATATTCTGTACACATGGGGCCAATCCGAAACCCATAATTCATATCATTTTCACTCGTGACAGATTACCCAACCCGTGCCGTGTGTGATTTTATCGCACCAAATCCCGACCCGTATTTAGTTGTCAATGACCCAATAATTGAGACGATGAATTGGCATTCTTTCAGAATGGGAGGCAAGGTCAAACCCACGAGACAACAGGCTCACTGTAATATGGCCCATTTGCATCCTATTCTGTCCCCAAAAACTTACTAAGAGAAGCTTCTCTACTGCTACTTTCTTATTGGCACTATAATACTATAAACTACAAAAATATAGATTAGTTGTAAATGTATTCGAGCTATCCTAAATAGTAAATATGTAGAAGCTATATGTTTGCTAATTTGTTGGTAAAGTCTCTAATTGGTTGCGGTGTCGAAATTTGAGATCGGATCTTACCTTCACCAGGGTTGGGAGAGGGTTACCTGTTAGTCCATTTAGTTTATCCTTTTGGCTCGGTTTGGAAAATATAAATATATACAAAATACAAAGTTTTGCACTCTACATGTTTATATTTGTATTACTTTCAAACCGAGCTTTCATTTTACTAATACAAAAGAAATTATATATTGAGTGAAGATTATGTTATTATTACTAGTACAAGTGCACCTGTTATACATGCATGTGTGCAACCAAAAACAAAATGATAAAGATATAAGGCACTGTTTCGTTAACGGGATTTGGGTTTGCAATCAGATCCAATTTCAACTATTTGGTTGGGTGGAATTGGAATCCCATTCTCATTCTTGCGGGAATGGTATTCTCCCATTTGATCCATGCCCCTTCTTTGGAAATGAAATCTCATTCCTCCTGATTCTAATTTCATTCCCATTTTCTGCCCCTCCTTTGGGAATGACTCGTTCAGATTCAAATTCAGATTCTGATTCTGATTCCGATTCCAATTCTGGCAGAAAAACAAACAAACCCTAAATATTAAGCATCCTTTAATTTAACTTTTATAACTTGCACCAAAACCAAACAAATCTATGATGTTTTTGTATAAAGTATAGATATATATGTACTGTCTATTATATTTGCGTGGAAATGAAGAGGAATTAGGAAACTAGGTCTAAGGAGAGGATTTTAATTTCGAATCCCAACTTTTAAATTATATAATTAATCCAATGAAACAAGTGGTTGAATATTATTCCACGAAGCCATCAACTTGGTCTACTAAGATTACAGGAAACGTACACAAAGGCTCGAGACATCTAAACAAACCCAACACAAAGAAAAGAAAGCAGCAAATTAACAAGAAACGATACTTGACTAAACAACAAAATAAGTAGACCAAGTTGGTGTCTTGGTCTATTTAATATATAATTTACAGAGAATTAATGCAAATGGTCTGGGATCTGACATGGTGACAGCATGCATGGCACCTCTCCTTTTGTGAGTAAGAAGAAAGAGCAATCAATCAAATAATCACACGTTGGTGATAAGATTAGATTATTGTTGCACTCAGTACGTTAACCAGAGATTAGGGTCAATTGATTTAAGTGGCTGTCTGGTTTGTCTTCACATCAATCCCACCATATTCTAGCTGCAAGAAAATGGCCAAAGACAGACAGAAGCTTAAGTTGCAATTCTCGTATTCTCCGGTTGAATGATGGATTATAGCCACATAAATTCTACACTCTTTTTCATCTCCCAACTGATTGCTTGGTTAGCAAAAAACCAATAATAATAATAATAACTTCAACTTAATTTGTCTGATCGATGTAAATGGAGATATATTAATTAATTTCCCAAAGTTAAACGGAAGTTTCAGGGTCAGAGTCTCCTTCAAGGAATTTGCCTTCTCCAGAGTAGAGGGTTTGCTTTTCCAACCAAGTTTGTGTTCTCCAGTGTTTCTGTGATGACCGATGTTAATTACCAAGTTTAGTAAGAAAAGAGTAACCAATGCTTTTTAGTTGCTTTCCACATGGTTTTAAGACTAAAGAACGAAGGAATTAAGTATTCAAGAGGGTCAAATCAAGCAGTATTTATTTAGGATTTTTTCAATTTTTTTATAACTCGGATTAGCTGAATGTGACGACTGTTTAATCAATGATAACGTCCTATGTCAGACACAAATGATGTTTACATCTGCCCACTGAATGCCTA